GAAGGTTCGGAGTTTAACATGTCAGGCTGGAGTAAATTCACTGACCTGGTCACCATCCATCCATTTTTTGGGGTATGGACCAGAGTGCTGATTGGAACACAGCCAAACTCAGTCACAGTGCTCATGTACTTTGCTGTGTAAACAGAGGGAGGAAAAGTAAAGACAATGCAGAACAACTGGACAAACCAGAAATCAGAATGCAGTGATTAGGTAAGGAGAGTCATGTGCTAACTGCAATCACATGATTTTGTTTTTCGTTTAGCTTATAACTTCTGTTTTTACCTGTTCTGTTTTTCATCTCTAACTGGCCGATCCATGTGTTTACCAGGACTCCCTGTCCAGGTCCTGAAGAGCTGCCCAACACAGCCTGACCCAGCAGGTTAGCATCCTTTGGAATGGCCAGTGGATGGAAATCTCTGTTCAGACGCTTCTTCTCGCACGTTTTGTTTCTCTCGCTGATCTTGTACAGAACTCCCTTAAATGAAGCTCAAAGATAACAATATGCCTTGTTTCAAAATCGTTTGGTGCAGACATCTATTCTCTGCTGCTCTTACCTGTCTGTACAGAAGAAGCACATTCAGAGTGAAAGTTTTGTTATCGTAGGATCCGATTTCTCTAAGACATATACGCTGTCCCAGGGCATCATAAATGTACTTGGCAACGGCTACCCATTTCTCATCTTGGGTCGACTGAAAAGAAATGTGCATTAGATAATTTTACTATTATCACAAATACTGTATATTTGGCAAAGAGACAAGTGAGAACTCACTATAGTAAGGGAACCAGTCAGCAAAGCTGGGGAGGCTGGGAAGTTTAAAAACAGACCATAAATGCAAAGCTCTTAATGCAAAAATCTTCAGATTGAGTGTACTTACAGCATGGCTGGGGCCTCTGAGCCAGGCAGCCGACTGACAGGCACACAAGCAGGGCCAGAGCTCTCATGTTGTCAGGCTGACTTCTCTCTGCAGCAACAACAAACAACCAGAGAGCTCACTTCCTTATAAAGCAGCCTGTTGGTGACGCCTGCTTCCTTATTTTTCACTCCCATGGTGCTTTAGTGTAATCAGTTCAATCAACAATGTCTCAGTGTAAAGTTATGCAGTGTGTTTGCGTTCAGGTAAATCAGCTGAGAAAGTTCAGATATAGAAAATATGCAGGTCATTTTAGGTCATCCACTACTTAAAACTAACATTTCTGACCATAAAGGAGGAATATCTTTTTCTCTATATCCGTCCCTCCCCTTATGCTAAGTTTAAACTTCACCTGTATGGATGATGTAAAAAAAGGATCCAGTTTCAACCACGTGGATAAAACAGGTTTCACACACCAATAACCCATGACTGATCTTTTTATATAACAGATTAAAACATGAACTTTTTAATACATAATACAAGTTTGCAAGTCAGTTTAGAAGAAAATACCTTTTTGTAACGACTGCTTGTTTTATGCTTAGATTGGACTTGCACCTACACAACAGAGATTTTACCCCATTCCTCTTTGTCAGTGAAACTAAACCTGTGTCATCACATGATCTTTGAAGAATTTTCCTTCACCATTTTAATCACATGATGAGGAATAAATTAGAGCTTTTTAATCCAAGTCTCAAAAAGTCAAAATCACTGGATTTAAAGCCAATCTCTATTTGTGGGACAGAGATAGATAATTTATTATGCATGAGCTGAATATTTCAACAGATTTAACATTTTTTTAAATATTTTTTTTGCTGAATTTTTCATATACAACTTATACAGATATACAGATTCCATGACTACCTCAGGTACAATCGCGGATAGAGGAGTGCTTATGATCTTATTTTTAATAAGATCAATCTTATTTATAAAGAATCCCATAAAATCATTGCTGCTAAGAGCAGGTGGAATGGACGGTTCAACAGAGCT